TGCTATAAGCACAAAGGGAGACATAAGGGGTCGGAATCCGTTGTGATTCCGTTGTCAGGGTTAGGGAAGGGAGATATAAGGGGCCGAAATCCATTGTGATTTCGTTGTCAGGGTCAGGGAAAGGAGATATAAGGGGTTGAAATCCGTTGTGATTCCGTTGTCTAGGTTAGGAAACCTGATATGAATTATCTGATATGAATGGGATTTTATCTGATTTCTGATTTCTGTACGATTCTGGTTATTCCTTACGATTCTGTCTGCTCTGTGAATTGAAAGCTTTATGATATCTATTCTGAACTTTGATTTGAAATGAATTTAGTTTTTCTGTATCAGTAATTTGAATTCTGTTGATCAAGTCTCGGTATTTAGTTGATTATACGATTTATGTACGGCTATTTGAATAACTGCTTCCAATGTATTTTCTGATGTGTATTTTTGGAGATTTTGATGAGTGTTGTCTTGCTGAGCTGTGTTAGCTCATCCTTTTTTTCTGCATTGTTTTCAGGTTCTGGGAAGAGGAAGGAGGTCTTGGACTAGAAGTTCTGTGTCTGATATGAGATTAGGTATTTTGTACTTTTGATTTTTTGTACAGTCATGATTTTTCTATTTTGTTATACTATTTCTGTCTGAAGCCATGGACTGTGTTGTATATGATTATTTTGCTGAAATAAAATATGGATGAACTGTTCTGTATATTTGGATGTTTATAGTAGCTCTGTGTTTTTGTATGTTTTCTAATTTGAAGAAAGACTAAAGCAAATTCCAAAGCTAGATCCTGGATTTTAATTATTTTTGTCGCAGCCCGACGTGAAGGGTTTCATTCCGATTAGGTTGGGTCGTGAAAAACTTAAGTGGTATCAGAGCAATAGTTTTAGAATTTTGATTGTTAAGATAGAGCTATAGGAATTGATCTGTAAGTCTGTCGGGGTAGTTCTGGTTTGTCTGGTCTTTTAATATGTTGTTTTATGTGCATAGTTTTCTGTGTGATTATGGATCTGCCAGACCCAGATATGACTGATGGGCAGAGTGTTAGTCAGGCAGCTCTTGTGAACAGTTCTGCCTCAGTGATTGATTATGATACAATTTTGCAATTTGCTATGTTGGTTGCTCAGATGATGAGCGAGACTCAGAATAGAGTTTCTGCTGTTAGATCTGAAGACGTAGATAGACATCTACAAATGTTTCTGAGATTGAATCCTTCGAGGTTTGAGGGCACAGTTGAGCCCAAAGCAGTTGAGGATTGGTTGAGGAGGTTGGAAAAGACATTTGACGGCATGCAATGCCCTTCTGATAGGAAGGTACCATTAGCAATTTTTCTGTTGGATGGGGAAGCAGAGCGCTGGTGGATGAGCCAACAGGAGGAGAAATTTCAAGGTAAACTGAACTTTTTGATTTCTTGGGAAGAATTTTCTGAAGTATTCAGATCTTGGTTTATACCCCCTTCTGCAAGACAACAAATGTAGGAGAATTTTCTGAGGTTGGTTCAAGGGAGTAAAACAGTTATGCAGTATGAGACAGAATTTACTACTTTAGCTAGATATGCTCCACAATTAGTAAGTACTTCAATTAGTGAGTACTTCTGCTGAGAAGTGCTACAGATTTCTGAGGGGACTACGAGATAGTCTGAGGCAGTCCCTGGTGCCATTTCACATTTATGATTTCTCTGAGCTTGTGGAGAGAGCTCGTCTGATAGAGAATGATCTAATGGCTACTCAGCAGCGGTGGACTGCTAGTAGGAAGAGGTTTAGTAGTGATGCTTCTGGCAGTGGGTTTTCTGGAAAGAAGAGGTTTGTTTCTGGAGACTCCAGGAGTGATATTCAGGATCCTCTATAATTTTTGGTAGTGGAAGTGTGGCCAGTTCTGGGTCAGTCAGTGGGGCACTTGTCTGTCAAACTTGTGGACGATGACATTTTGGCCAGTGTTACAGGATGACTGGTCAGTGTTTCAGATGTGGTCATCAGGATATCAGATTGTAGAGTGTCCACAAGCTGGGTTTGATCGACGATCTGAGTCTAGATCTGAGGGTTTTGCTAGATCAACAAGAAGGCCGAGGACAGTTCCTCCATGTACTATTTCTGAGGGGTCATCTAGTAGAGCTGGTGGTTTGGGTTCTGTGGCGAGGAGACCACCTAGTGGTAATCAGAGGGAGCCTAGTGGTTCTGTGGCTTCAGCTCCAGTTCAGCCACGTGTGTATAGTTTGAATCAGCAAGAGGATCGAGATGCTCCAGATGTGGTGACAGGTACGGTTTATATTTCTGATCATCCTTGTCATGTTTTATTTGATTCTGGAGATAGTCATTCATTTTTGTCTCAGCGTTGTTTTGATGCTTTGCATCTAGATTCTGTGATATTGTCAGTTTCTCTTTCTGTTCTTTTGCCGGCTGGGAATAATTTGATTGCTCGGAAATTTTGTTTCTATGAGATTGATATTTCTGGTATGAAGTGGAAATCGTGTTTGATTTTATTACCAATTTCTTCGTATGACGTGATTTTGGGCATGGATTGGCTGAGTCAGTATGAGGCTCAGATTGACTGTTTGAAGAAACAAGTGAGCTTGCTTATGGATGGCAAAAGATGTGTATTTCAAGGGTTAAGAGGAGTTTTATCCTGTTTGATTTCTATGTTGGAAGTCAGAAGATTGTGGAAGAAGGGTTCTACTGTGTTTTTAGCATCAGTACGGGATATGAATATAGATGCGGGTTCTATTTCTGATATCCCAGTTGTACGAGACTTTTCAGATGTATTTCCTGAGGAGTTAGTTGGATTATCTCCGAATAGAGATGTTGAGTTATGTATTGATGTTTTTCCGGGTACAGCTCCGGTATCAAAAGCTCCGTACAGGATGACACCAATGAAACTTTCAGAATTGAAAGTTCAACTCCAGGAGTTGGTGGATAGAGGATTTGTTCGCCCTAGTGTTTCTCCTTGGGAAGCTCCTGTTCTATTTATAAAGAAGAAGGATGGAACAATGAGCATGTGTGTTGACTACAGAGATCTAAATAAAGTCACAATCAAGAATAAGTATCCGGTGCCAAGGATTGATGATTTGTTTGATCAACTTGTTGGATCTTCTGTATTCTTCAAGATTGATTTGAGATCTGGATATTATCAGGTGAAGTTAAAGGAAGATGATGTGATAAAGACAACTTTTAGTACTCGGTACGGGCACTATGAGTTTTTGGTTATGCCTTTTGGGGTAACCAACGCACCAGCTATTTTTATCGATCTAATGAACAGAGTGTTCAAGGAGTATCTGGATCAATTTCTGATTATCTTTATAAATGATATTCTAGTATTTTCTGCTTTTGAAGAAGATCATGCCAGACATTTGAGGAGTGTGTTGGAGACTTTGAGGCAACATCAGTTGTATGCAAAATTCTCCAAGTGTGAATTTTGGCTGAAGAGCATTTCTTTTCTGGGTCATGTGGTGAGCGGCAAGGTATTTCTAGTTATCCCCAAAAAATTCAAGAAGTTGCTAATTGGCCAAGGCCTACTACGGTGTTTGAGATACATAGTTTTTTGGGCATGGCCCGGATATTATAGAAAATTTGTGAAGGGATTTTCTTAGATTTCTGCACCTCTAATGAGACTGACTCAGAAATCAGTAGCTTTTATTTGAACACCAGAGTGTGAAACTAGATTTTAGAGATTGAAGGATTATTTGACTTCTGCTCCAGTATTAGCACTTCCATCTAGTACGGAAGGATTTTAGGTATTCAGTGATGCTTCACTTAAAGGTCAGGGCTGTGTTCTGATGCAGCATGGTCGGGTAATAACTTATGCTTCGAGATAGTTGAAACCATATGAAAAGAATTACCCGACGCATGATTTGAAATTGGCTGCAGTTGTATTTGCTTTGAAGATTTGGCGTTATTACTTGTATGGCGTCAAGTGTGAGATCTTCACAGATCATAAGAGTTTAAAGTACATATTTACTCAGAAGGATCTGAATTTGAGGCAACGAAGGTGGCTTGAGTTGATCAAGGACTATGATCAGACGATTCAGTATCAGCCTGGTAAGGCTAATGTGGTAGTAGACGCTCTGAGCATGAATTCTTCGGGATTATCCTGTATTCAGCTCACTTCCGATGAGTATTTGATACGAGATATGGAAAGATTATAGTTTGAGGTAATTTCCTCTACTGATTCTGGTATTTTGTCTCAGATGAATATTCAACATTCTTTGGAAGAGAAGATTCATGAAGCTCAGCAGTCAGACGCTGACTATTTGAAGTTAATTGATCAGATTAAATCTGGTAAGAAACCTGAATTATGAATTTCTGATTATGGTATTATTTTCTGTAAGAACAGGCTGTGGATTACTATGTTTGAAGATCTGATAAAAGAGATTCTGCACGAATCTCATTATTCAGGCTATACTATTCATCCAGGAAGTGATAAGATGTACTAAGACATGAAAATCTTATTTTGGTGGCCTGGAATAAAAAAGGACAAAGCTGAATTTGTTTCAAAATGTGAAGCCTGTTAGTTAGTGAAGGTAGAGCATCAGCGACCAGGAGGTCTTTTACAGTCGTTACCTATCCCTGAGTGGAAGTGGGAGGAGGTGACGATGGATTTTGCTATGGGTTTCCCAAGACCGAGGCAAAGGCATGATTCTATTTGGGTGATTGTTGATCGATTGACAAAGTCTGCACACTTTCTTCTGATCAGACAGACGGATCCGGTGGATAAGTTAGCTAAGATTTATGTTAAAGAAATTGTTAGATTACATGGTGTACCAAAAGTGATTGTATCTGATCGGGATGGACAGTTTACCTCCAGACTTTGGAGAGGAATTCAACAAGTCTTGGGCACGAAATTGCATTTCAGTACGGTTTTTCATCCGCAGACTGATGTTTAGTCTGAGAGGACTATTCAGGTACAAGAAGATCTTTAATAACAGTCATCAGTCAAGCATTGGTATGTCACCTTACGAAGCTTTATATGGCCAAAAATGTAGAACTCCTTTGACTCTGATTGAGGTGGGAGATAGACAAGTGATGGGTTCAACTTTTGTGGATGAAACTGTTATGAAGATCAATTTGATTAAAGAAAGATTGAAAGCTGCACAAGATAGATAACAGAAGTATTATAATCAGAAATATAGACTGATTGAATTTCAGATTGGTGACTTTGTGTATGTCAAAGTTAGTCCGATGAAAGGTGTTAACAGATTTGGTAGAGTGAGCAAGCTCAGTCCAAGGTATGTCGGACCTTTTGAGATCATCGAAAGGGATGGTAATTCTGCTTATAGGTTGTTATTGCCTAATCAGATGTCTGATATACATAACATGTTTCATGTATCCTCTTTGAGAAAGTGGATATCTAATTCTAAAAAATAATTATATGTTGATGATGTGGAGATTCAGGAGAATTTGCAGTACAAAGAAGAGCCTGAAAAGATTTTGGCTTATTATGTGCGAAAACTGAGAAGTAAACAGATTCCTATGTTTAAGGTTCAGTGGAAGTTCAGAACGACAAGAGAAGCTACTTGGGAGAAGGAATCGGACATGAGACAGTTGTATCCAAGTTTGTTCTGACTCAGTTTACTTTGGGAATGTCGAGGACGACATTTTTCTTAAGGTGGGTAGATTGTGAAACCCTTAATTTTTCAATTTATGTTAAAAAAACAAATTTTGTGTTGTTAGTACGGGACGAACCGCCTAGACGAACTGAAGAAATGTTGAAAATCTGTATGGTTAGTACGGATGAACTGCCAGTACGAACAGAGAAAATATGCATGTTCGTCTGAACGAACCTGGAACCATCGGTATGAACCGTCAGGATGAACCAAACAGAGAGCATCATCCAGGGACGAAGAAATTGGAATTTATTTTCGTCTGGACGTTTTGAGTCCAGAGAAGGTCGTCCCGGGATGATCTGACATCGTCCTAGACGATCCTGCTTGATAAATATCTGAATAGCGTCATTTTTAAGAGAGAGAAAGCTGAGGAGAGAGAAAAACAAAGAAAGAGGAAGAAAAGTGGATTTTTGAGCGACTTCGACCCGTTTTCATCCGTTGCCGTAGTTGGAAAAGTTGACCGACTCGAGGTAAGGCACATTATGCCTTTCTCAATTTTCAGAAATATGATTTTTGACAGATTTTCTTTCAAATTCATTTTCCATTAGCGAAAATCTGGTATTACTTTGCACCAGTAAAACTTTTACTGCGTAACTTTTGGTATGTTTTTGAGATGATGTTTTTGCACGTTTTGAGTATTTTCTGAAAGATTTTTATCAGATATTTTGGATTATGCGGCATTTTAATTGAATTGTGAATTATCAGGATGTTGAAAAATGTTTCGTCAGTACAGTGAAAGTTTTATAATGTTGATGTGTATATTTTGTGGTAATTTGGTAAATTTCTGAATCTGTGAATTTTGCGTAAATTCCGTATACTGCCGTTATGCCGCTGACGATTTTTTTGACGTACTCTGATTTTCTGATTTGAATGTTTTGATGTGCTGTGATATCAGAAGGGAGGTATAACGGGCCGGAATCCTTTGTGATTCCGTTGTCTGGGTCCGGGAAATCTGAAAATTTACAAATAAGTTCTATTCTAAAAATTCTGATATATGATATATGTTCTGTTATGGTGCTACAAGCACAAAGGGAGACATAAGGGGCCGGAATCCGTTGTGATTCCGTTGTCAGGGTCAGGAAAGGGAGATATAAGGGGTCGAAATCTATTGTGATTCCGTTGTCAGGGTCAGGGAAGGGAGATATAAGGGGCCGAAATCCATTGTGATTCCGTTGTCTGGGTAAGAGAATCTGATATGAATTATCTGATATGAATGTGATTTTATCTGATTTATGATTTCTGTACGATTCTGGTTATTCCTTACGATTCTGTCTGCTCGGTGAATTGAAAGCTTTATGATATATGTTCTAAACTTTGATTTGAAATGAATTTGGTTTTTCTGTATAAGTGATTTGATTTCTGTTGATCAAGTCTCGGTATTTTGTTGATTATATGATTTCTGTACGGCTATTTGAATAACTGCTTTCGATGTATTTTCTAATGTGTATTTCTGGAGATTTTGATTAGTGAGTGTTGTCTTACTGAACTGTGTTAGCTCATCCTTATTTTATGCATGGTTTTCAGGTACTGGGAAGGGGAAGGAGGTCTTGGACTAGAAGTTTTATGTCTGATATGAGATTAAGTATTTTGTACTTTTATTTTTTTTATACATGTTGACCTCTTTTTTGTATGAGGTCACTTGGACCATTCCTGACTCTAAATCACCAATCCAAACTCTATGATCCTCCTAGAATCTCAACTTTAGGATCTACCTAGATCTTAGAATTTGAAACCAAAATCCAATGCTAAAAGGCCAAGTCCTAAAAGCCTTTTTCAGCAAATTTTCAAACACTTCAAAAACCAATCAAATGATCTCCGATTCAGAGTCTGTTAGTTGCATACTGATGGGATATGTCTCTGGAGTCAACCCTCCAAATTTGAACCCATTCTGAGATCTCTAACCCCAGAAACTAATCAAAATCCAAAGGCTAGTAACCTTCAAATATTTACAGCCTATGCCACTGGACTTGCCACCTTGAAGATTCTGACCTTAGAGCCTTCACCAAAGCCTCTAGTCACTTTCAGACCATTAATCCTCATGTGGTGAACAATAAACTGCAATTTTTCTGGACTCATTCAACCCCCAGTGAGCATTGAGCCCGCACAAAAATGGACCAAAATACCCTATGGGGCTCAAAATATGATTTTCAAACCAAACGACCTCCAAATTGAATGCAATCACCTCCAGCAAGTTTCAAAACATCAAACACAAACTTGTTGGACCCATTTCCAGACCTTGGGTCAATCTGGTTGACCAAACTCATCCTAGTTGACCTAAGAGGCCCATTAAGGGCCCAAATGGGTGTTTTGACCTAATTGATTTCCTTGAACCTTCAAAATACATTCAACAAACTCAAAACCATATTTCAAACTTGTTGAGCCCAAAATTGGACATTTGACCCAACCAATAGTTGACTAAGTCAACTAAGCCATGATTTGTCAATTGAATCCACATGACCCAATCCATTTCATTCAAGCAAATCAAACCCATTCAAATTATACCAAACCAATGCAAACTCTCAAACACATTTCTAAAAACATGTTTCAAACCCATTCAACTCAATTGGAATCAAACTCAATTAGAGTTTTGACTTAGTCAAACCCAAAATCATAGTCAAACTCTCACTTATATGTTTTCATACACTCAAACATCAACCTTCAAAGCCTTAGATCCATCATTCCAGCACCCATGGCATCCCATTGCCACTCCCACCTATCTTTGACCAGTTGACTGGTCAACAAGTCAACAAACCCCTTTATGGTGGCTTAAATATCTAAATGACTTGACTATAAGCTAACCCATTTCCTATCAAATTATCCAGCCAATACTCAAATTTTCTTCCCATAAGCCATGTCACCCAGTCCACATGGCAAGGAGACTGGTCAAAACAGTCAACCAATTCCTTTAAATGGGTCAAACTTGGTCCAAATCATCATTTAAAATTAATCCATTCCACTTAGGACCTAACCAACAGCCCTAAGGACCTCTAGAACCTTCCTAGAGCCTTTCCTGGCCTTTGGATCCAGATCCTACAGCTCTAAATCAAACCCATGTGGACTATGGGACAAAAGAGGCTTTCCACCTCACATGTCCTTGTGTCCTTTGATCCAGCCCGCTTTCCAACCAACTCTCAGGACACTTGGCAACATCAGAGGTGCACTCAAGTGATCCTATGCCGTCCAAGTAGCTTAGGGTTGTTTGAATAGGGAAAAACGATGGAAAGAGCCCTCATTGAACACCTAGCTCTCTCTCACCCACTTCAAAGCCTCTACAACCGATATCTCTGCTCATTCAACTCCAAAACCATCCTATTCACCCATTAAAACCAAACCAAGCCGAGAGTCAAACTCGCCGGCGGCCAGATTCTGGCGAGCTTAGCAGAACTCCGTCCAAGCCAATTTTCCGTTGATTTAGGAGCTTTCCGAGCCAAGGTATCTTCTACAAAAAGGAGCGTGGACAGCCTACAAATGCAGCATGCCATTAAAACGGGTATCCGTCAATTATCAAGGTTAAAAAATCAAACCCTAGTCTAAGTACACTAGCTTTAAATAGGTATCTCTATACTGATTTCTAGGTTATAAAAATGAATCTCCCAATATTTATGTT